GGCCACTTTAAGACTTGTGGACTTCAACTCCCAGAATTCTCCAGCCAGCATTCTGGGAGTTGAAGTCCACAAGTCTTAAAGTGGCCAAGTTTGGAGACCTCTGCATAAGAGGGGACAGGTGAACATATACTTGGACAAATAATTACAGCTCATTGTGTCCTGCGCTAAAATAGAGACAATGTAGTTTTTTTTTAATTATATTTTTTATTATAGTTTTATTAATTTATAATATGATATACAAAAAGAATAGAAAAGCAAATATTAGGGAAATTAGGAAAGGAAAAAGGAAAAAGTGAATAGCGGGGGAAAGCAAGGGGGAGGGAAGATTTTGACTTCCTACTCCTTTGGTGCAGTAAAATAAAGCATTAAGTCCTGTCCTCAACTTTTTACTTTTTATAGTAATAGAAACTAGCCATTTCTGCAACAACAAATCTATCTAATTGGTAAAACCCAAAAGCAAAGTTTCATTTTATTTTCCACATCAAGCCCAAAATCCAGAAGTGGTTTCCAAGTAGAAATGAAAGTATTTGTATATTTTTCCCCCCGTTTGATCAAAGCAGTCAATTTAGCCATCCCTGCCAACTCCCATCAGTTTTTGTAGCCATTCATTCGTTCGTTGTGGGGATTGAGGTGACCGAGGAGACAATGTAGTTTTTGATGAGTGGCATAATGTCTGCTAGAATTTTATCTAGTTGTGAAGCATGCTTCAAAAAACAGCCAAGCCTGTTCTGAGATTCCAGTGCACAGAAGGACAAAAAGAAGAGAAAGAGGGAAGATCTGAGGCCTCCGGCAGCTTCTTTTTAAGATTTCATGGGATAAAGTTACCTTACAAGCTTGGAACCGATTTAAAAGCGTCTTTTTTTTTTTTTTCCAAAAGGGTCCTTGGCCTCATTTCTCTGAAGAAATCAGGGCAGGAGGTAGCGCTTAGGGTCTCCATTTAGCAGCATTAAAAACGTGCTTAAATTTCAGCAAAGTTATTTCTATTCCACACTTGAGCCGAGTAAACTTTCTACAAAATGGTCTGCCTCCCAACCAGGCCAGCCCCAAACACAAACCCAGCATCCCATCCTCTGGCTTACCTCTTTGCAGGACTGGACAGCAATGTATTCGGTGAAGATCTTCTTGGCTTTGGCTATCATCTTGGACTGGGATTTGATGTTCTTGTATTCCTCGCATGCCAGCCAGAACTCTAGGTTCTCCTCACTGAACTCGGTGCGCAGGAAAGAACGGAAGGCAGCCACCCCATCTGAGCAGGGATGAGAGGATGCAGCGGCTTTTTGTGAGACGTGCTTGTGCTGCAAAGGCACTGAGGCCTCTTTTTTTTTTGGGCGCAGCCACCTTGCCAGGGAAACGGGCAACATAAAAAATAATGCAATAAATAAATATAAAGGGGGAGGGTCAGAGGTGGTATTCAGCGGGTTCTGGCCGGTTCTCGAAAACCGGCAGCGGAAATTTTGAGTAGTTCGGAGAACTGGCAGATACCGCCTCTGACTGGCCCCGCCTCCATCTATTCTCCGCCTCCTGAGTCCCAGCTGATCGGCTGGGTTTCCTTTGGTTTGCCCTGCACAGGAGAACGGAGCTGGAAAGCAGGTTAGTGAGGTGGGGAGGGAATGGGGATTTTGCAGTAACCTTCCCCTGCCACGCCCATCAAGCCACGCCCACAGAGCCGGTAGTAAAATAATTTGAATCCCACCGCTGGGGAAGGTACTTCTGTTTTTTCACCAAGGACCCAGCTAGGCAACTATTTTATGTCAAGAAGCAGATTCTCTCTTAAAGAAACTGTGAAGGACTTTTTGTATCCAGAGGAGAAGTTGGATTCAGGGGACTTTTGTTCGATTCAGTATCTCTGGGCATATGAGAGGGAGCTGTTCCAAAACTCACCCCAATTTCTTTAAATCGAGTCTCTCAAATAGAGATACAGGGGTACAAATAATATACATCTGTCTTTCTGGAGGATTGTTTTTTGCGTATGTGCACAAAGCTTGCAGCATAATCACCTGGCACGCAAAAGCCCCCAGGCCCAAGTTGCTGCAGCTCTGGTTCTGTGGGCATCGGGGAAGGGGGTGCACAGTGATGGGGAAACGTGCTTTGGAAATCTTGCCGCTAGTCACAGCATGCAACACCTGGCTACTCTCTGATTTTCAAGTCATCCAGGTGCTTGGCGATATTATTGTTAGCAAAAGCCATCTACTTAAAAATTAAGTATCCTCTGCCACAAAGAAGTACCAAGATCCCATAAGCCAAGGCTGGAATGGGAGGGAGCAGGGGAAGGTAAGGAAAATAACAGCTACCCTAAAGCTTTGTTCTATTCCCATCCCTGAATGTTTTAAGATCTGTGTTTGGAATGGAGGTTATTCAAGCTTACTCAAAAGCTCTGAAAAGGAGGAAAAGGGGGGGAAAATGCTGTCCAATCTTTGACAATTTTAATTCAAACACTTAACAGCAATCTGACTTTTTTAGAAACTCAACCCCAGAAAAAGGCTCCTTACATTTATGCTGCAGCAGCTTTTCCAGTGAGTCTCCCCATTTAAGAGCTTCTTCAGGAGGGGGCCTGAAGGGAGGCAAGGGATGGTGAGAAGGAGATTACTTGAATCACGTGTCACAAAGGCCAGTGAAAGATGGAACCACTGCGGGAAGGAAAAATAACTCCCCAGCACGGGGGTTTATTAAAACGTCTCCTCTTTAAAACTGAAACAATGCTAGAACAAAAATAAATACGTTGACCAAACTAACGTGAAATTTGGAACTTTATTTAACTTGCCTACCAGTGACAAAATCCAAAGGGACACAATAAGAAAAAAAAATCAGTGGAATCAGAGCCAAATATAGTTTGCCACAACCACCCCCACCCCCCGTACATTTCTGCCCTTGCTGCCTCCATGGCTTCCACCAATGCTGGCCACCACCTCACGCACAGCGTCCTGAATGTGTGGTTGTGTCCAGTCAAGGGATCCCAGAACAGGCAAAGGTGCCTGGGACAAAACAGGCCTTGGGTGGGGCTTTGTGGCTTAGTGGTCAAAAAGTGCCCTTTCCCATTGGCAGCCCAGCATGGAGTGTTGACATGGGCACGACTGAGGCTGGCAAGCTCACCCACATCGCTTGTGTCTTAGCTTTTCAATCAGGTTTCCTCCTAGACCAAGGCTCTTCAAACTTGGGCAAGTTTAAGACTAGTGGACTTCAACTCCCAGAATTCCTGAGCTGACATGACTGGGGGAGGAAGTCTGGGAGTTGAAGTCCACAAGTCTTAAAGATGTCTAGTTTGAAGACCCCTTGATCTATAGAATCTATCTTCTATCTCCATCTCCCTATCTACGTTCAGTCTGTCTGTCTGTCTGTCTATCTATCGATCTACCTACATACCTACTTACCTACCTACATCAGGGGTCTCCAACCTTGGCAACTTTAAGCCTGGAGGACTTCAACTCCCAGAATTCTGGGAGTTGAAGTCTGCCAGGCTTCAAAGCTGGCTGGGGAATCCAGGCTTAAAGTTGCCAAGGTTGGAGACCCCTGATCTACAGTCTCTCTCTGTCTCTCCATCTATCTAATCCAAGGATCTTCAAACTTGGCAAGTTTAAGACTAGTGGGCTTCAACTCCCATGACCGGAGGAGGAATTCTGGGAGTTGAAGTCCACACAAGTCTTAAAGCTGTCCGAGTTTGAAGACCGCCCTGTCCTAGACAAAGGAGGTTTCTGCCTTTGATTGGGATTGGTTCATTAGCGCAACCTTCCAAGTCGTTTCCACCCCGCACCTTGTCTAGCTGCCCCCCCCCCCCGCCCTTCTTGTCTAGGGAGACAGAGGGCCGGGGGGGGGGTTTCAGACTAGGCAGCCTCCCCCCCCCCCCCCCCCGTTTCGCTCCCCGCCGCTTACCGCAGAAGCTTCATCCCTTTGTCGGCCTTGCTCTCAGGCTGCCCCCACAGAGCTTCCTGCCGCTTCCGAAAGAGCCCCAGCCGGTTCTTGACGTCTCGGGCCCTGCAGGGCGGGGAAGCCAAGGGAAGGAGGGTGAGCCTCCGAGCCCAGCCGTTGCGGGCCTGGAGGAGACCTGCCGACGAGGCAGCGCTTCTCTTCCGCTCCCGACGCCGCAGCGGTCACGACTCCCCCCCCCCCCCCCCCCCCAGCCCAATTCCAAGCAGCACTTCGGGCAGGCAAAGCGAAAGGCGCTCGGCACTCCCGGACCGGAGAAGCCAGACCGACCCAGCCGGAATCGGGACGGGGGGAAGCGGCCACGTACTCCTTGGTGGTATGCCGCCTCTGCAGGCCTCCCCGGCGAGCGCCCCACAAGATCTCCGCCTGGAGCTCCGCCGCCGGCGCCTTGCTCGGGTCGCGGAAGAAAGGCATGGCCCGGGCCGGAGGGCGCAAGCCTGGCCAGCCGCCTCCGAGAGCCCGCCCGCCCGTCCCTCGCCGAGCGCCCGCCGCATGTGTGACTCAACGCCGGAACGCCGCCTATTTCTGGCCGCCCCCGGGCGGCAGGCACCAAAACCGCGGCTATTTTTAGCCGAGCCCGGGAAGGGAGCCCGGGCTGCGCGGGGAGGCGGGAGGGAGGGAAGGAGGCGCGGCGCGGCGCTGTCCGGGCAGCACTCCAGGTGGAGCCGAGAGGCGGGACTGCTTCAGCCGCTTGCAGCTCCGACAGCCGCCCCCCCGTTCCCCCTTTTCCGTCCTCGCCGGCCCCCGACTCTCCCCTCCCGGCCTCTTCGCCACGATAACGGCGACTAGCAGCCCCCAGAAGCCGCCGGCGCCGCGGAGCAGAGAGGCCAGGCCTGCCCAGTCAGGTGCGGCCCCCCCGCGCAAAAGCCGACGGTGCTTCTCGTCCCGGTTCTCCCCTCCCCGCTCGCCGCTGCAGCCCCGCTCGGGCCAAGGGCTGGGCAAAGCAGCGAAGGTGGGGGGGGGGGCGTCCAAAACGGGGAGTCGAGCAATGCTGCCCCCTTCAGGGCAGCAGGAGGAACCGTGCAGGGCTCCCCACCTCCTCCTCCTCCTCGGCTCAGCAGCTGGGAGCAGTTGGGGGCCTGAGCCCCTTCTCAACCCAACGCCCCCCCTGATTAAGGAGCACCCAGAGCCTACGGGAGGTCCCCAGATCTGTGAGGCCAGCTCTCCCACACCTTCAGCTCCCACTCAGGACAACCCTCCTAAGGGGGAGGGCGGCCCCTGCGTGAGGGAATCCATCCCACCCTCTTCTTTCTTGGAGGGGGTTAGGAGTAGGAAAGAAACCCCCTGGGTCAAACCTCCTTTCTTGCAGGGTTGGGGGGCAATGGGTTGTCCAGGGAGCTGTGGCCTCTGGGAAGTGGGTCTCCAGCCCTCTGGGTGCCCTGCCCCTGTGGCCACCAAAGCTTGTGCTAAAACAACTGGGGTTAACACCCGCCCAGATGAACACCAGATTCTGCCCCTTGCTTGCAGGCAGGCAGAAGATGAGCCAGGTATGACTAGGAAGGGGGAGGGGGTGAACCCTACATCCCTCTGGAGCAGGGGTCTCCAACCTTGGCAACTTTAAGACTTGTGGGCTTTCAACTCCTAGAGTTTCTCAGCCAGGAACTCTGGGAGTTGAAGTCCACAAGTCTTCAAGTTGCCAAGGTTGGAGACCCCTGCTCTAGTCCAAGGTCTTCAAACTTGGTCAGTTTAAGACTTGTGGACTTCCAACTCCCAGAATTCCTGAGCTAACATGACTGGAGGAGGAATTCTGGGAGTTGAAGCCCACAAGTCTTAAAAGTTGCCAAATTTGAAGACTGCTGGAATAGATAGAGAGAGAAGGGATAGATAGAATAGATAAAGAGAGGTAGAATAGATAGAAAGAGATATAAAGAGATAGGATAGATAGATAGATAGATAGATAGATAGATAGATAGATAGATAGATAGAAGCAAGAGTTTTCAAACTTGGCCAGTTTAAGACTTGTGGACTTCAACTTCCAGAATTCCTGAGCTTCTGGAGGAGGAATTGTGGCTGGAGGAGGAATTCTGGGAGTCGAAGTCCATAAGTCTTAAAGCTGTCACGTTTGAAGACCCCTGCTCTAGATGGACTAGGGGGCAGGGAGGGGGACGGAAGGCAGCATGGCCCCTGTCATATGTGTAAGAGGTGGGTTTCTGAACCTCCACCGTTTGCTTTTCCTTCTGGGGCGGGGTCTGAACCAATGGAAATTTGCTCCTGATTCACAGCCTTGTGTTCCGAGACCAAAAAAAACCCGACGGTCAAGAGAGACGCTTCCACCCGCTCAGGCTGGTTTGAGGGAAAGGAGCCACAAAGCACAGTCGCACTTACATTGCCTTGTTCATCTTGTGGGCTGCTCCTGAGTCCCAAACTCCTTCGGGGTCCAGCATCTGCTGCTGCTGCTGCTGCTGTTGCCACCATCGCCACAATGGGAAGGTGGGCGGGGGAACAGAAAGCAGGTAAATTCAACGGAGGAGTTAACCATTTTCAGTCCTTTTGCTACCGCTCCCTTTGGGTTATCCATCCTTCGCTGTCTGGGAGGGATCTGGGCAGACACTTCCAAACACTGCGAGGCAAGCCAGCCAACCATCTTTTCAAAAGCGGGGCTTATTGGCCGGACCGAAGTCCACGCGGAAGGAACTTCCTTGGGAATCTCCCCCCCGGCACCCGGAAACCGGGGCGAAGCGTGGGAAACCGTGTCTTGGTCAAGCTCTCCTTCGCTGCTAGGGGAGGCTTCCGGGCCCTATCAGGAAGCCAGCGCTCTGCCTGCCTGGCAAAGGCATTCCCGGGCCTTTCGGGTGCGCCAGATGGGCTCGAGCGCATTTCCTCTCATTGTTGAAAGGGGTTTCTCTGCTCCCGGGGGCAGGAAGTGGCCAGGGCTGGCCTCTTCCAGCAGCAGGCAGCCGCCCTAGAAGGCAGACTGCTCTGCTTGGCACCGGGGTTATGCTGCTCGCAACCCACCTGACGGTGTGTGACAGGAAGAGTGCTGGAAGGGGGGTGGGCTCGGCTCTGGGCAAGGGGGCTGGCTGGCCCTGAACTCTCACTCTGCTTCTCTGCTGGAGGTAACCTAGGCAGGACTGGAGTTCTTGTGAAGGGGGAGCTGCTCCATAATTCTTAACAGGCATCGGGCGGTTTCCTTTCTTCTTCAGTCTGGAGCCTCTGAGGAATCCAGAGACCTGCCTGGCATATGAAAGGTAATGGGAAAGGCCCCCCAATTCCCCACTGGAAGTGCTCTGTCCCTGCCTCTCCACGGGTACTAGAGTTCAAGATTGAGTCACTCGCTTTGGAAAAGGCAGCTGATCCTCTTCTGCCTTGGCAGGGAGTAGCCCCGCACAGCTGCCGAATCCCCCTCCAGAAGCCACGCAAGCACCTCTGGGCCCTTCATAGCAAACTCTACTGGAGAAATCATTCTCCAGCAATCATTCTTTCCTGCATCTCTCTGGAATGGCCAGTCGCTTTGGACACATCCCCATGGGCTGTAAATGGCAAACCTATGGCACGCGTGCAACAGGGGGTACGCAGAGCCATTGGTTCAGGCATGCGAGCCCCAGGCAAACTTACCTCACTGTGCATGCACACACCTCCCGGCTGATTTTTGGGCCTTTTTCAGCCTCGCAGAGGCTTGAAGGGACCCTCTGCAGCCTTTGCAGGCCGAAAAATAGGCCCGTTTCGTCACTTCCTGTATTTCCAGAAATAGTGGAAGTGACGCAATGGGCCAGTTTTTTGGCCTGCAAAGGCTGCAGAGGTTCCCCTCAAGCCTCTGCGAGGCCAAAAAAAGACTTCAAATGGGCCGAAGATCAGCTGGGAGGTGCAATGCAGATAAGGGGGCAGGCGGGATGGGGGGATCACGCACGCCTGCACAGGGGGCTTGGGGGTGGGCGTGCGCATTGCCTTCTGAGTGCTGGCACGCGAGCACGCCCGCATAAGCATGCGCACAATTTTTGGCACAGGAGCAAAGGAAGGTGAGCCACCACTGCCCTAGGGGGCAGCCAGCACACATTGCGCGTACAAACAGGGATAAAGATAATGTGGAGTGATGCCGCTTCAGCGAGTAGCATGCTGGATTCTTATTAGTGGTGCACGGGATTTAAAATTATGAGTTTAGTGGTCCCTGGGGTCCAAAAGGTTGGCGACCCCTGACTTAGAAGACCGAGAAATGTTATTTTTCAAAGTAGCTCTCTAAATAAACTTGAAAACTGACATTTCTGACATGTCGAGAAAGCCGGCTGAGTCAAAAGGCCTCCTCCAGCCTGGGTCCCTGAAAGGAAGCCAAAAGAGGCCAGAAGCAACCGCATGCGTCGTGCGAAGCCAGTGGCATGCGATCCGCATTCAAGATCATCCCTACCCTGAACTTTCTCTGACTCTTCCTGGCACGACTGCTCCGAAAGGCACCCATTGAGTGCCCCTCCCCATCCACCCTCGTTATGGCACCCAGGCACACCCAGAGGCTTGCCTACCTTCCGATTCCCAACGAAGAGCAGCGTGAGTTGGTGGATGGAGCCCCCATTCTTCAGAAGCTGTTTCTTGAGGCTCTGTGGAGATGGCAGCGTCCAGCCGGCGGTGGGTCCTTGCATCTCGGTGTAATTCAGGCTGGTGTCAGAGGTGAAGCAATGGCCGGCTCGGGGCTCCTGAAGCAGGCTGCCCTCGCTGTGAGTCCGACGCCGCAGAGAGTTCTGCACACTCAGGGTGCAGGCCGGCTGACAGGCGGACGTTTCGAACAAGCTGCAGCGTTTTCGGTGCCCCCTGGCCAGATAGGCCTCCCCGCTGTCCTCCTCCTCTTCCTCCTCTTCCTCGGCCAATTCCTCTGGACCGCTGAGCTTGAGGCTGGTGAGGCCGGTCAGGTCTGGATTAAAGGCACCCTCCACCTGCAACTTTGGGATTGTAAAGGCAGTGGAGCCACTGCAGGGCGCTTCCTGCTCCTTCTCCTCGAGGTGGCAGGGCTGCTTCCCCTGTTCCATCGCGACGCCCTGGACTCCTGCCACAGCTTCCCCTGTCAGCCCCTCTACGGAGTTGCCCCTCACAGGATAGGCAAGGCGGCTGCTGTCATCCTGCCCCACAGGGGGCACTGCCCCTAATTTCGCAGCTGCTGGCTCAAGCATCTGGGGGGAAACAAAGGGAAAGGGAAATGTATGGTTGGAAATGGGACAAAAAAAGTTTCCAGCATCCCAAGTGATCCTGGGAAGGTCAAGCGGAGGCTGATGTCTTGGAACAAGGGTCTTCAAACTTGGCAAAGTTGAAGACTTGTGGACTTCCAACTCCCAGAATTCCCGAGCTAACGTGACTAGAGGAGGAATTCTGGGAGTTGAAAGTCCACAAAGCTGTCAAGTCTGAAGACCCCTGCTCTATCTGATACGCAGCTCTATCATTCCCCTCTGTTGTAATGGTTTCCTGTATCACATGGCCCCTCCAGGTTTCATCTCTATTGTTCCTGTGATGCATTTCCTGTTCTTGTATTACTCTAACACAAGGGTCTTCAGACGTGACGGCTTTTAAGACTTGTGGACTTCAACTCCCAGAATTCCTGAGCTAACATGACTGGAGGAGGAATTCTGGGAGATGAGGTCCACAAGTCTTCAAGCTGTCAAGTTTGAAGACCCCCCTCTTCAAACAGGTGCTTAAGCACCTGGGGACAGCCTTCCCCAGATACATCGGGAGCGTTTCCTCCCAATAAGGGGCCAGGGGTTGAGACCGCAAAGGCTGCTTCTTCCTAGGTGCTCACCTCCCACCCCAGTCCTTGCATAAAGCTCTCCCCCCCCCCCCCGGATTCTGTATTTTGGAACCAAAGAATTGTGGCCCAGAGCCCTAACACCAACTAGCATCCAGCCCAGCATATATATACCCTTTCCATAGAGGGGGCCGCTCAGGCTGAGGTCACTCGCATCTCTTCTGGCCACAAGCAATAATCTTCTGTTATAGTCTTTGCTCCTAAATTTTGTGTGAAAGGCCCTCCCAACTTCCAGATTATATTCTGAAAATCACTCTCAAAAGCCCGTCGGGAGGAAGCTTCCCTCTCCCCTTTCAGATCAATTGCCCCCATAAGGAACCAAGGAACTGGCAAAGAACCTGGACTGGGGATGGCAGCTCCCCCAAAGAGTCAGGGGCTGCCCTTAAATCCCCAGCACAGATGCTGCGATGCTTGGCTTCTGCAGGGTGGAAAAAGTGACCAGCTCGCAAGAACTTACGAATCGTAGGTGCTTCCGGCTGCCGTTTCTGGGCAAGTAGTTTGCAGGTCACGCCACACCCGAGCCCCAAATCTGAGAGCGGCACCACTGATTTCTCTACAAAACCGCTTGGCTCGCAGTCCTGGTCCAAACGAGCTGTTTTGACTTTCAGGGACCCGAAGCTAATTGAGATACCGCTGGTCTTGACCCACACCTGATCCGAATGCTGCTGACGTTCCCTGTCTTGGCTCTAGTGTCCCACACTAGCCGGAATGCTTAATTGGACAACTGAGGTCCGACGGATGTAAATAAGGCTTTAAGCTCAGGAAACAAAACAGAGCTGGGTCAGGTTCTAACCTGTCTCCTTGGCTCAGTGGGAGCAAATTACAAGAGATGGTCCTTTGGGGTGGGCAGGAGACATAGGAGAGGGAATGTAAACACCCTGTTGTTCAATCAACCCTTGTGCCACATCATGGAAAGGACCTGGGGGCTCCCCTAGGAACGGAGACAGATCACACACTGAACACATCCCGTTTTTCCACTGAGCTGACTCATAGGGTTGGCTTTCGGAGGAGGCCGATGCCACAAGAGAGAGATTTTAAACACTTCCTATTCTCCCCAATTTACTAGAACACACGGAGTTAAAACCCGCTTGAGAAGAACTTACGGGAGAGACGAAGGAAGAGAATAAAACCTGACGTATCTAAGAGGCCAAATTTCTGCTTCCAATATCCCCCAGAAAGGTAGCAATGGACAACCAGTGACCAATGCTGGTGGTAAATGTGCGGATCAGCTCTTGCGCTCTCGGTTCGGTTAAAAAGGACTCGCACCCAGGGGTTTTTAAGGCCAGAAGAGGCTTAGCTCTGATCCAGCAGAGCCGTCACACGGAACGTCTTCAGCATTTCTAGCCAAAAAAGAGAAGTGAACTTGCGATGCTTTTAATGGGGCGATCGACTGGATCAATTTCCAAGTTTTATTCCAGCCTCCTCAGGAGGTCAAACAAGGACAGCACAAGCCCCATCTCTGCCTTCATGGTGTGTGGGAGAGGGAGAGGGGGCTAGGGTTGAACTCACCTGCCTCAGGTAACCTATTGGCGAAAGAGTTTCTACAAAACCTTTTCACGTTCCTACCCTTCCTATCCACTCACCCCTTAAGCCACCCTCCTCCAGCTGCCACCAGCCTGCCACCCACTCCTCACCACTTTCCTGAGATGCCCCGTCCTTCTGACATTTTGGGTCACTGGTTCTGCTCCTTCAGCCATTGGCTGCACAGAGAAATTATCCTTCCTAGCATGCAGATCGAGCGAGCTGAAATACGTTGCTTCTCATTTATTTTGGGGGCCAGAGGAAGGAAGATTCATGCTAGAAGGAAGGATGAAACGCCCGAAAACCTACCCTGCTCATTTAGTGCCATAGGCATGAGGGCTAAGCCCCCCTGGTCCTCAGCCTTGTGGCATCACTCCTTCCACACAGCATGGACTTCAGAGAGGACCACCACACATCTTGTTCTCTTCTCACAACCACTAAATATTCTTGCCCCAAACTAAGTACAAAACAACACCTTAGTAGGGGTGGGTGATCTGCGACACTGTTCTATTTCTTCAGAATGGCAGGGCGGGGAGGCATAGGACAAACCTTGAAAAAACGAGACACAATCCCTAATCACAGCACGACATCAACACAACGTGAAGCATCTAAGAAGCCCGGGTGGTTTCTCTCCTACCTCTGCAAAAGATGTCCTGGAGCCCCTGCCAGTTCACGGGCGTCGAAGCGAGTGCCCTGCAGTTGCCCCCCAAGGGCTGACAAGGGGAAGAAGGGGGCACCCCGAGCTTAGCCTTGGGGGGTATGGTTTGATATGCCATAGATTAGTCTCATCCAGGGTGAGCAGGGGAGGGGTCCAGGCAGAGGGGAGGGGTCCCCCAAATAGGAGCGGCCGCCCCTCTGGAGAGGTGGCTCTGCTGCTGCTGCGGCTCACCAGCTCGGCCTGCCCTTTTGCGCGGGCGCCAGTGAGAAAGCAATACTTGCTGAGGGTTTTATTGGCCTCCCTATAATCAGATCATCATTGGATTAAGTGCAGCCAGGAACTCTGCCAAAAAGCAGCCAGTTCCGATTATTCTCCTACAACGCCAGAGGCAGGATTGACATCAGCTGGACAGAGGCAGGACAGAGGCTTACTTCCTGGGAACAAAGGGGAGCCTTCAGCACCAGCCAGGCACAAGGAAACAAAGCCTGCGTATTGCCCAGAGCCCCAGATGTGCTTTGGCTCCTCGGGGGCCACTCCTCTCCCCACCCACCCACCCCCTGCTGGGCAGATAAGCTCAGGGAGGACCTCAGAGGCCAGGCAAGAGCCCGATCCCCTAAGGCTACGGCAGGGAAGCAAGCCAGGGGCGCCACCTCTCTTGTAGGGCAAGGCTCCGTCCGTCCGTCCGTCCATGTGTGTGTGGTGTGTGTGTATTGAAAGCCCCAGCAGGCCAAGTGGGTGAGGAGGCCTTGTCGTTTCTACTCTTTCGTGTTGAACATCCCGAATAGGGCAAGTCCCTGCCTGGCTGGTGGCTGTGACAGCATCTTGCAACTCGCCAAGACGGCAGCGATGAGGCATGCGATGTGGCGAAGGAGCCTCCGCCAAGAATATGGCAGCACGAGGATCGAAGCCCGCCGGTAGGCCCCTCAGGGAGGAAGGAGGCTGCCGGTGCTGACTTGGCCTGGACCAAAGCAGAGCTCTTCTTGGGTCTCGTCCTCCATCCCATGCCAGGGTCCATAATGGACCCTACGGTTCATGCGCTGAGGAGGGCCCTGCCTGACCAGCTGTGCCCGCTCCCCGTTGAGCGAGGACCGCCCTGCTCTAACTGACTGCGCTTGGTCATGGGCCTTTCCCTGCCAGCCCTTCCTCTTTTGCTGCCCCTTACCTTGTTTTCCGCTGGAGGGGCTGTTGGGGTTGTTCTTGGCTGCTGCTTCAAGACGTGATCGATCAGACACCAGCACACCCTGGTCTTCTGCTCATGGGAGTGAGCCTGCAGGCTGAGCACACATTCCAGCTCCTAGCACACAGGGACACAGAGAAGGGGGAGGGGGAGACGTCTAGGAGAGCAAGGCCCACCTTCCTCGGGGGCAGCTTTGGTCTCTGGGTTGGCTGCCCACCTGGGATGCCAGCTGATCGGAAGCCCTTTGACACAAAACTACCTGCACGCACAATTCCTCCCCCTACTCAAACCTGCTGGTTTGCCTATCCTTTGCAGAGTCAGTGTCCTCCTTGCTCTACTGTGGGAAAATGGCAGCAGAGTCGCCAATGCAGATCCCCTCTCCTGTATCTGCGGTGGAAGCCCTGAGCAAGGGGGCACAGCTCCCCTCCCAAAGGATTCCGATTGGGAAAACAGACACACCCTCAGGTTGCTGTTGTGGTTAGCCGGAAGCAGGTGCAGACAGCTGAGGAGAGCGAGGACTCAGATGAGGGGCCGGGAACATCAGGGAGTGGACTGCTGCCTTCAGGGATTGTGGGGGCTGGCAGC